CTCACAACTCTTTGGATCCTGTCACTGGATCTAACCAACGCCTTTATCCACTGTGCCATCTGTCCTTAAGGAGACAGGGCGCAGTTCGACATTACAAACACTTGAAGAAGGCCGGAGCGTACAACGGCCGAAACGTTGTAATAAATATGGCAAGGAAGATGAAGACAATAGTCCGAATAATGTAAATAGTGTACATAATACCTCATCTCAGATATATAGACAGATATTCGTTATCTGTTAAAACAATTCCTTGATAGTTAAATTGTTCTATTATTTTTATATAGGTTGGTGCAAAAATAATGACGTAATAATGTCGTTTTTGACGTTAAAAAATACGTCACAAAACGACATTATTACGTCATTATTTTTGTACCAACCTAATATTTGATTTTGGTATCTAGAATGTCTAATTCGCATATTGGGCTGTTCTTTTTTGCTGACAACCATACATTCTGTTTTTTTTTTGTTTTTTTTTTGCAATTAGTATTTAGTCCTTTCTTCTTACTTTTTTTTTTTACTACCTTCTCTAGGATTTCTTCTGAAAAAAAAGAAAAGAAAAGAAAGAGAGCTTATCTAATTATGCCTCGGAATGTACGAGTTGCGCACCATTGGCAATGAGCTTTCGGTGGGGTTTATATTCTGAAAACAAGATAAAGTTGATCATGTGTCATTCGATACATGACTGACGAGGCAAATTTTTTCCCCGCAGTAGGTTGCCATTTCTTTCTTCGTTGCATCCAAGTTTATAGAACCCGGTCTGTCCTGTTATTTACCAATAGCTGGTGGAGGAGAAAATAAGACGATTCATACCTTTCCCGAGGGTATTAGCACGTAAGTGAATTTCAGTCTGTTATGTGCCATGCGTGATTATATTTTTAGGGCGATCATGTATAAGGAAGATACATGACTGACGAGGCATATTTTTCCAGTAGTAGGTTGCGAAAATTTCTGCGGTAGACTTGTTTTTATTCAAGATAGCCATTTCTTTCTGCGGTAGACCAGTTGGCATCCAAGGCTATAGAACCCGATCTATTCTGCTATTTACCCTTAGCTGGTAGGGAAGAGAAGAAGAGGATACATACCTTTCTTAAGGGTATTAGCACGTAAGTGGATGTAATGAATTCGACTAGAATTCGAACTCGGCTCTCCGATTCTTCAATCCGAGCCGCTATCCATACAGAGATTTAATCACCACAGAGAACATTTTATACCTGTCACCAGCATGGCTGATGCTAACCTCCAACTCTTTACGCATTCTTTGGGTCACTGTCATGAAGAGAGATGATTGTACTGGATCGATTGCTACGTATACTGCTTAGAAAGTTGGTTGACTGTGTCGTGCGAGGTAATATTGCACCTCAGAATTCATCGTGCACATTTATAAATCTACCCCACGTCTGAGCATCGCATATTGCTACCATATTTGGTTCTACTATATATTCTTGACAAAATTCAGAGGAGAGTAATGTAATTGATTCTGACCTGGCACCTCGATTACAGTTAATTTACCGCCGCCGTAACATGGCTTCTCTACGAAAGATTTTCATGACTTGATGGACTTTACTCGCTGGTGCCTCGATTCCAGGAATTTAAGATTGGCAACGCAATCTCACTGTTTTACTATTCATCCAGCTACATGCAACCTTCTCATCTATTATAACAGGTTCTTTTCTCGCACTTCCCACCTGTGCAATTCCCTTTCGATTTCTTGCTTCCCTGTCATCAACAATCTTCAAAAATATAAATGCAACGTCAATCGCCATCTTCTGAACACGTCTCTTTTATTGTCCGTTCTACACACTTTTCCTTCTCTTTCACTCCAACTAACCGTTGCGTCTTAGTGACATTATCGCCTTGCTTGGGGTGAAATTATTAAAACAATTGTGATATATCGAAAAAGTATAATTTAAGGTTTAATATTATTTATAAAGATTAAAAAGGATAAAATTGAAAAGGACGATAAATAGAAAAAAAATATATATCAAGGAGATGAATCATAATGTCGAGAAAAATCTCTATCTATAAAAGGCATGATGTGTGTGTGTGTGTGTGTGTGTGTGTGTATGTGTGTGTGTGTGTGTGTGTGTGTGTAACGAATGCACAGCCGCAATTTTCGACAGATTTGCACCAAAATTTACATGCACATGCTCCAAGTAATCGGAAATGCTAAGACCGACTTTGCATTTCCCAACTCCCATCGATAGTGGAAATAATCGATATTTTCATGCTTCTACGGCAGTTTTCATGTAGTTTGCGGCCATTTTCTCCAGGTCAGACTGAGAGCCAATAGCTGGCTGCCACGAACAGACAGGAAGATTCTATTGGCCAGTGTGTGAGCCAACAGCTGACTGACACGAATGTTAACTAGCATGCTAGCATGCAAAAAAAATCGATAGCTGCATTCGTCACAAGTGGGAAAGATTAAATCTCATGGCACTTTACTCCAATTGGCTCATTTGCTTGCTTAAACTCAACGTTGATTCTGATTCCGAAGAACTGGGTTTGGTGTGAAATAGTATTTGTTGTTAACATTCTTTTTCATTCGGGTTTTTCCAGTTACGAGTTTTTTTTTAAAACTGATCGTTTTGTGTTCATTTTGTTTAGTTCTTTTTTCGTAAAGAATTAATGTTTAGTATAGAGCTTAGAAAAAATCGCAGTGTGAGATAGGCAAGAAGTAAGGCATGTAGCAACATCAGCACGGCAAAGGGCACTCCTTTAAAGGCAAGGAAGGGCAAAAATATTTTAAGTCAAGTGATAGCGATTGCTGTATGAGTCGTACGAATTTTTTAATGAAGCACGGGAAAACGCCGGGCCATGCTGCTAGTGTAATATAAAAAGGAGGAGATACTAAATGAGTAAGGGGGAGAATGAAAAAAAAGGCAGAAAGGGTAAGATCCAAAAACAGAGTGAATGATGACGAAATCGAAGGAGAAACATTGGAGTTTCAGTCAGAGGAGAGACTCCCAGAAAAGGGGGAAGAGAGAGAGGAAAGAGAAGTAGAACGTAAAACAGTGAGAAAAAGAAAGAAGAAGAAATTTAATGAAAGTAAACTGGGGAATTTAAAGAAAGAGGAAATGATTCGTTTTGATATAATCCGTAAAAATTTGAACGTTTTTGATAAACGAAAAAGATTAAATTGAAATTGAAGGAGGCGTGTTCGATAATCGGGAGAAGGCGTAATGTATTGAGCGACGAAGGAGGCAGTTTAGATAGAGTAAAGATGTCAGGAGGAGAGAATTGCGAAAGAGAAGCTGTATTAATAAGAAGAGGAGGTAGTTGACGAAGAAAAGAAGTTGAGAAAAGAGAAAAAGCGTTGAGAAAGAGAAGCTATGTCATTATCGGAGGCGGTAGTTTGTTTAAAAAATTAAAGATTCATTTATATTATTGAGAAGTGTAACTTGAGAGACAAATATTATGATATAGTTGAAAGATAGATTAAGAAAGTGTAGATATATATAAATAATATTGGGGGATAGAAAAATATAAATGATGAAAAAGGTTATATATATTTGAATATATCAAGAATATTTGATGAATGTTGATGCAAGGTTTAAGAGATTTTAAATGGAACAAATATTTGGGATATATATATAAATAAATTTAATAAGGGTGTTATAAATGCAGGAAAGTTGAAAAAAAAATGGGAGAAAATAAATACTTTTGAGGATAATATAAAGACAATATACTGATAAACCAAAGCCAATCATTGGATATATATATATAATTTCCATATATAGTTAATTGAGAGCTGAAAAATATATATATATACATATACACCATGGATAGAATTTAGAAAGAGAAGACAACAAATATTCTAAAGAAGAAGAGGCAGGGGGTGGACAGAAAGAAGTTATGAAATAGTTAGATATTACAGTTGAATAAAGAGGGAGAAAAAAAAATATGGAGGAATGGAATGAAAGTATAGAAGACGCTATTGACAAACAGAGAGGAACCCTTAATAGAAAAAAAGCTAGAGGAAAGAGATGTTATTTTTATATTAATATTTATCGCTCCATCGCAACTTTTTCTACAAACAATATACTGGTAAACAGAGGTGGCAGTGGGAGAAGAGAAACGATCTATGAGGGTAATTAGGTGCGACTTGAGAAAGAGGGAGAAACTATGATTTAATTTAGAGGAGAAATATGAGAAAAATCAGACAATAAAACTTAGGTCATCAAATAAAAATATGAATTGGTTCCAGGTGGGAGTCTGAGAAACAAGGAGAATTGAATCAATTTTGAAAAAGTTTTTCCCTTTTCAGACGATTACTTCAAAGTTTTGATTCGGTAGTCGACAAAAGAGAGAAGCTTGGGAGTAGTCCATGAATTTGAACTTAAGTTTTTGGGCGAATTGATTAAAAATTAAAATGCGAAAGAAAAAGAAAATGGATTTTCGGGGCTTTGGAAGGAAAATTAAAAATGAAAATCCAATAGAAAGAAGGAATATAAATTTTAGAGAGAAAAAAAAATAAAAAAAAATATGTCGATAAGAAGGTTTAATAATTAAAACCCCCAAAAAGAACAGTTTTTTTCAAAAAAGAAAGTGAATTTGAAGTAGAGAGAAAGAAGCTGAACAGGTGGAGGAAAAAAAGAAAAAAAAAAAAAAAAATGAAAATTTATTTTTATGCAGAAAATGGATTGGAAGATTCTTTAAATTAAAAACATTATCGTGGCGGAGGAAAATCTAGTGCAGTCTTTTCTATAAAGGAATTGTATATTAATTAAATCGATAGTTGTCCAGAAGTGGATTAAAATAACCGAGTCATATTTGAGGTTTTTATCACATGTTTTGAAATTGCCCCCATTCAGCCATGAAGAGAGAGGGTCACAGAATAAAGGACAGATGTGAATAATTTGTATAGATTTTGTTTATTAATTTCTCCTTGTCTTTATTTTGCTTAAGTTTTTTTTTTTTTTTTTTTTTTTTTAATTTTCGTCTTTTGAATTCAAACTATAAAAAATATAAATTTCTTTTTTCGAAATTTTTCTCGACGTCAGTTTTATTCCTTGATCATTTCCTTCTTTCTTTTATTTATAAAAATTTCTTTCAAAATTCTTTCTTTTTTTCTTAAAAAATTTTTTCTTTCTAATTTTTCTTTTTTTAATTTCTTTTTTTTTTTTAGAATTTCAAACGAAAATTTCTTTCTTTCTAAAAATTTTGGAAAATTTTCTGATTCATTTTTTTTTCTTTCTTCAAGAAGTTTTTTTTTTTTCTTCTTTCTTTTCTTTTTTCTTTCTTTTTTTTTTCTTTCTTTCAAAGTTTCTTTTTTTTTTTTTGACTTTGAAAAATGTTGTTTTATTTTATTTTTTTTTTTGTTTAGAATTCATTTCGGAAATAGATTTCTTTTATTTTTTTTCTTTCTTTATTTTTTTTATTTTTTTTCTTTTTTTCTTTTTCTTTGGACAAATTTCTACCAACTTTATTTTTTTTTCTTTTAAATTTTTTTGCCAAACCAGCTTTTTTTCTTTTTCTTTTTGTTGTTTGTTTTTTTTTTTTCCCTTCTTTTTATTTCTTTTTTTCTTTTTTCTTTTTTTATTTCCTGAATTTTGTAAATTTTTTTTAAACGAAATTTTTTCTTTTTTTTCTTTTTACGAAATTTTCTTTCTTTCTTTCTTTTTATTTTTTTCTGAAACTTCTTTATTTTTTCTTTTTTCAAAAAAGTTTCGTTACAAAATTTTTTTTTTTTTTTCAATTTCTTTCCTTTTCTTTTTTTTTTCTTTTTTTCCTTTCTTATTTTTTTTTTTTCTTTCTTTCTTCATTTTTTGTTTTTTTTTTTTTGACTTTTTTTTTTTCTTTCTTGGATTTTTCTTCAACCACATTTCTTTTTTTTGAATTTTTTTTGTTTTTTCTTTTCAAAAATTTTTTTTTATTTCTTTTTTTTTTTTAAAACTTTCATTTTAATGTTTTTTAATTTATATTTGTTTTATTTCTGTTTTTTAGATTTTTTCAATTTTTTTATTATTTAATAGGCTTTAATTATTTATTTCTTCTGATATTATTTTTATTCAGGATAATACAATGTTTTGTTTTATTTTATTTATGTGTTTGAGTGGTTAGAATGCTGGCATTCTAACAATGACAACAGTTGGGTTCGAATTAACCAAATTCGACTTATTTCTGATGTTATCACATTGGAAAGTGAGTTAATGAATTAATAAAAATAGAGCCATATGTATAGTTATTTTTTATCCAATATTTAGATTTGATATCAAAAAAATATGGCGTCAAAAGATGAAACATGAACTCATTTTTATTTTGTAATGGTTCTAAAAGACAAATTTGATAACAATTATATAACGTCGAGGTGAAATGACAAGTTCTTTTTTGAATATCAAACGCAATTTAAATGAATTTATTATATAGTTTAAAACATAAATTCTGAATCGACAAATCAATTGAACTTAGTAAATGTTTTATTTTTATATACGATTTATAAATAAAAACAACGAAATTTTCTATTTGCAGAGAATTATTAAAAGAAGACTATTTATAAACATATTTTCATTATATATATATATATATATATATATAAATGAAAAATGAAATATATTTATATATATTTTTAGCTCTTTTATAAATTCTTTAAGCACTGTTTCTATATATTTTTTTGTAAATGGGAAAACAGAACATTTATTTATATTTATTTATTTTATATTAGACATATATATATATATATATATATATATATATATATATATATGTAAATAAAAGTTAATTTTGAAGAAACATGTTACAAATATGGACAACTTTTGTTTAAAAATGATTTTATGTTTTCAAAATCCGAGAACTGGAATTATAAACACAAAAAACAAACACACACATACACACACATGAATTTATTATAAATAGAATAATAATCTATGTTTTTTTATTAACACTATTAATTATTATTTACCATTTAAGAAAATATAAATATAAATAATTCTCTGGAAAATTTAATCCATTTATAATTGAATATATATATATATATATATATATATATATATATATTTATATAAAAATAAAAAGCCGCATCCTCTAGTAACCACTTTCAATCCCACTCTGCCTCCACTATCCCAAATAATCAAACGTCGCTGGGAAATACTACATCTCAAACCAGACCTAAAAAATTTGTTTAAGGAACCCTGGCCTTCTTGGCATATCGTAGACCTAAGAACCTAAAAAAGAAATCATAGGTAGTAACCACATTTCAGGGGACAAGGTAATCCGTAATAAACTAAGAACAAAAACAACAGGATTTTCCCAACCATGTAACATAAAAAAGAAGTTTATGTTGGAAAACCATATTAAAAAAACACGAATTCATTCACTAGCTCAATCACTAAATCTACTTTTCAAAATCTACCACGATTCTAACTGTAGAAGTCATAACATAATTTACCTCCTAGAATGCACACTATGCCAGAAACAATATGTAGGAAAATCTGAATGGCCCTTTAACTACAGAATTAATAATTATCGTAATCGAATTAAATCGACTCCCCATGAAAAATTATTACCTGTAGAACAACATTTCCGCCTGAAAAAAACACGATTTCAAAACCCATGCCAAATTCACTATAATTGAGAGAATAGAAAAGTTCAGAGCAGATAACATTAGAAAGATTTTAGAGTCCCATGAAAATAAGTGGATACAACGTCTAAAAACACAATATCCAGCCGGGCTAAACCATAAATTTTAACAATATAGATAGTATTAATATATAAATCAACAAATCAAAACCTACCCACATTTCTCACCCACACAAGACAGACACATGCTTACGGAGGTGTGGAGGCCTCACACTTATACACACACACACACGATTGAATATACACATACACACACATCATACTCACTCACTCCCTAATGAGCCAAATGATAACACACACCCACAGCAATACACACGCTTACACATATCATACTCACTCACTCCCTAAGAACCAAATAAACACACACAAACACTAAACAGAGACACATCCCCTCTCCAGGACCAATAAAACTGTCAAACTGACCAGAGAATTCAGAGATAAGCATGTATCCATCCAGCTCTTATCTCAAATAACAACTTAAAAGAGACTGTTTGACCAACACAAGGAATGTTAAAAGATTCATGTTAAAAAATAAAAAAAAAAAAAAAAAAAACAAATGAAAACTACAGACAAAAGTTCATTTTCTCCATCAAGACATTCATTTCTGTAGTTTACTGCTACCAGCAAGCAGAAATATTTTTCTCCTGATGATGGCCATTTTGGTCGAAACTAGTCGAGGAATCTAAATGAAATAATAATAAAAAAAACGAAAGAATATTAATCTACAACCCAGTGTGTCTAAAGATTTTATTTTTTTTTATTTTTTTTATTGTTCAATATATATATATATATATATATATATATATATATATATATATATATATATATATATATATATATATATATATATATAAAGAATAGATATTTATTTATAACAAAAAATTTTAAATATCTTTATAAATATAAAATGTTAATATACATTATAATTTTAATAATTTAAAAATATATGATATGTTGTTTTTAATTTTTTCAATTTTTATTTTCAACATATTTATATTTAGATATTGATATAAAAATAAAACAATTTTTGATAGCAAAATAATTAATATCAAAATAATTATATATATATATTTATATATATAAGAATATTTTTATAGTGAAATACTGGTTTATAAATATATATATGAATATAGAATAGTTTTGATATATTTTAAATTATATGTATCTATTTTGTAAAATATTGTTTTTTTAACCTCATTTAAAATTTGATATTGAAATTTGTTTGAATAGAAAATCATTTATTAATAGTCAATTAAAGAATTTTATATAAAAAATAAAAAAATTTAAAAGGATTTTAAAAATTAAATTTTTTATTATATTTTTAACAAATAATAGAAAATTTCTAGTAATCATAATGTATATATATTTATTAATATATAACAATAAAATATATTTATATATTATTATAAATTTAAATTAAATTTTATAAATATATAATGATATTTTTTTTATTTCATTTAAAAAAATTAGTCAAAAATAATTATGAAAATATAGGATCATTTATTAAGATAATAAATTTAAACAAATAAAAAAACATAAATAAAAATTTTTTAAATGAATCTTAAAAAATAAATATTTATCCTTCTTTTATATAGTCATTATATTTTGAAATATATATTATATATTTATAAAAAATATATATATATATATATATATATAGTTTATAAAATATAATAAATTTTCATTTTGAAACATTTATATATATTTATTTTTCATGCAATAATAATTGCAATATTTAAAATAAACAATTTATTTATTGAAAACAAAAGAAAATTTATAAATATATTTAAAAAAATGTTAATATTTTAATATATTTTCATTCAAATGAATTTTATTTTTTTTGAATGTATCGATTTAATCGTTTAAATGTTTTTATATATGAAATTATGATATCATATTTAAAAATAATATATATTAATAAAAAATTTTAATCAATTTACGTAAATAAAAACAATATTTTAATATTTATATAAATAAATTTTAAATATTTAAATATAAAATTTAAAATTTAAATATTGAAAGTATAAATAAATTTTTAAAATTTTTGGAAATCATATTTTACAATCAAAATAATGAATATAATTAAATATATATTTTATATATAAATAAATGTCAAATTTAATAAAAAATATTTTTAAAAATATTCATTATGAAAAAATTAAAAGAAAATGAAATGAAAATCTTATAATACATGAAATTTAAAATAAATTATTCCAAAAAAAAAAAAATTCCAAAGAAAAAAATTTATTAAATTTTTAAATATGAAATATTTATTTAAAATCATGATTTCGGTTGAATTAAAAACTAGAAAAACATTTTCTTTAAATAAAATATTTTCTCCTTTTAATTTTAAATTTAAGGCTAAATTTTTTCAAAATATAATTTTCCAAGTCAAAAAATGATAGAGAAAAATTATATGGAGGAATAAAATTCTTGACAGAATGGCAGATAGAACCTTTTATTCATATTAGTTTAAAAAAAGGATTTTTAGATTAAAAT